AAAATACCCAAAACACTTAAGTGATAAACCTTTTGAAATTGCTAGAAATACTTTTTACAGTTCCAAAAGGGATAACCAAGCTTATTCAATTAAAATTATGTTGGTTCTTCCTTACCATGAAAATTTGGTTGATATCCTTTCTCTTCTTAAGAATTTTAATATGAAAGTTATATTTAAAAATTTTGATACAGTAAAAAAAGAAACTTTGGATAAAAACATCCACCAGAAATGCTGACGGCTGTGTTTACAAAATTTCTTGTAAAATATGTGATAAAGTTTATTACGGTCAAACTGGTAAAAGTCTTGAGCTAAGATTAAAACAACATAAATATAGCATTTGAAGTACCGGCTAATCTTTAATAATAATAATAATAAATAGGTATTTGAAGCGGACAAGATTCTAATGCTCTGTTTATTCTGGCTTTAGTAATTAATGGTTTGGTGAAATGTTGTATTGTCTGAATTAGTTAATTGAAGGAGAGTTAATAGGCGTGTAATAATTGTCTTTATTTGTTTTTTACTTGAGTGAGATGTAGGTGCAAACTTAACCTTTACTTTTTCCACTTGTTTAAGAACCGATTTAAGACCAGTCATAGTGTTCATTTGTCTTCCATTTGAGTTTATAGTTGCGTGTTCATTTATCATTGAACACAGTAAGAAGTGTAAGTGTTATGTTTATGTGAACTATTACCTGCAGCTGTTTGTGTCCGAGAGTGATCCTGAGGGAGGGGGAAAGTGAGGTGCTGGATGCAATACCTCTGAAGGCACCAGTTACTGCCTCATGTCATTACTCTTGTAAACACTTCATTACTCTTGCACCCCTGACCTGGAGGCTAAAGCTCACACGGCGAGGTGTCCGGGTACGATTCCAGGCGAGGGTAGAAACATTGGGCGTGTTTCTTTACACCGGTTGTCTATATTCCCATAGTAAAATGAGTACCTGGGAGTTAGTCGACTAGTGTGGGTCGCATCCTGGGACAAATCTGACCTAATTTGCCCGAAATGCTCTGCATAACAAACGGCTTTCTGTGTAGTAGTATATCACTGATGTCAGCTAGGACTGTATACCTTGTACATGTACGTGTAGAAATAAAATTATTATTATTATTATTATTATTATTATTATTATTATTATTATTATAGCTAACACGGTGTTGGGGCCCTGTCCTTTGACTTCCAAGACATTAGCGGTGTATTTCCTCTATGTTTACGACTAAACATAATGTTTGTTACCTCCGCAGATGAGCCTGGGGTAATGTTTACCACTAGTAACTAAACATAATGTGTGTTACCCCACAGATGAGCCTTGGGGTGCGGGTGGAGGTAGTGTTACTGGACGATCGTCGACTACAGTTGAACGTTGGACCTCGCTTGTTGACCCACGAGCTCCTAGCTATGGTCGCATCTCACTTCATCCTCAAGGAGAGTCAGTACTTCTCACTCGCCCTCCTCGACTCCACGTGAGTACCTTCTCTAAAATAATAATAATAATTATAATAATGTTGGATGGTATTTACTAGTACATATGGTAAGACCCTTTAGCCACAAGTAACTTCACATATGGTTTACAACACATTTCTAAGTTAGGTTAGAGCAGGTTAGCTTGTTCTATGTGCATAAAAATTATATATTATAACATCCCACAAAGAGAAAACTATAAGTATAAATAAAAGCCGATAAAAAATGAAATGTGGCATGAACAGAAAACTGGTCATATTTCAACTGTTTTGTTGGGAGGGTTCGTGGAGATGTGATGGTTGGAGTTAAACACACTTGTTGGATGGTAACACTTAGCAGAGTGTGAAAGAGGAGTCCAGACAGCCTGCGTTGCCTGTTCGTAGACCCAAGCGTGGAGTAAGGACGAGGCCGGGAGCGCAGCGCTCACATGCGGCATCACGTGATGGCACACATGCTAGTCACTGAGCCTAGCAAGGGGTCAACTATGTAAAACATATGGATGGTACTAACTATGATAGATAACATATACATATACAGGGGATCAGCAACTATGCTGACAGTTTAAGGAACCTTCAACAGTCACCCATTTGACTGTTTTTTGCAACAGTGTTGTGATGTCTGTAGTTGAGAGAACGGGCTGGACTACGAAAGTAACGCCGTAGATGTTACATTGTTAGTGGACGGAGAGTCGAGTTTCAGCCAGTGCCTGTTTTGAATGGTCAACACTTGGTGTCTCATATAAACTTAAATAAACTTAATAAACTACCCTTCAAAATGGCACTATGAAATAAAAAAAAAATAGGGTGGATAATGAGAATGTTCAAAGCAAAAGAAATCTCAGTTTGGTAATATTGAAATGACTTGTGGTTTCACCTTTACAATATTATTCTGTGCTTACAGCTTCCTTCAAAGCAGGAGAGATATCACAGCTGGGAAATGTACAGATATCGTTTACTTCCCGTCTAGACAAAACATTTAAATTACTGGGAACGCCAGCGATGAGATACCTGATAATATATACCCAGAGATGCTTGAGGGTCAACTCCTGTATCTACACACTTCCATAACAACGTACTAGAGTGAGAAATATGAGAGGAAGTGTATAATAAATTCACTGGAAAGCAGCGGCGCCATAGATGTACAATAACGCTCTTCAACATGTTACGAGCAAATAACAGAAATATTGTCGTAATGTTAGTAGAATTACCGACAATATGTAAAGTAAAAGGACACAAGTGCTTCACAAAGCTCCTAGAGAGCGAAACGTTGCCACAATAAAAATGTCACATTAGTTGCACTTGTGTCCTTTTACTTTACAGAAATATTGTCAAAAGAAATGTATAGATACGTCTTCAACAGCGTGCATTACTATCTCCTCCCAGTGTCAGATCAACCAAGCTGTGATTGCTTTGTGAACAAGTGGCCTACTAATAACAAAAGCCTATTACAAACAAGGTATAATATGAGCAGATGTGTAAAAGACACTTACACATGAAGTAACTTTGTTATAGAAACGTTTCGCTCACCAGGGCCTTCATCAATCCAATACAGAGGCATAAATGCAAGGAAATCTATAGCGTGGAGTTCAGTTATAATGTAGGCGGGGTGCACATATTGGTCAGTGACGTCACCTGACATGTGACTGATGCACTAATTAAATTCATCTGCCGCACTGGTATTGTTAACAGTGAATGTGTTATACATTAATGGTATACAATATCAACAAGTAGATGGCAATAAAAATACCCAAGTGTTGGACGTAAGTGTTAGTCATCTCATAAATAGGTAAGACCATTTTGTGAAGTGGTTTATTGCCAGACTCTTCATAAATGGTATTGTAATATGTACAAACTCGGGAAAATCGTACACTTGTGTACAGTTCGTTTAATAAATGTCTTTAGCTTACCAACCCAAGTCAATGCCTGACCACCAGGGATCTAGTTCGTACGTTGCACTGCGTGCGGCCAGCGGTAATTGCCTGGTTAATCAGGCCTTGATCCACTAAGAGGCGTTGTCTGGTGACGGGCCGCCGGGGCGTGGGCCCACCGGAAACGTCCTTCAGGTATTCTCTTTCAGGTTTCACTGATGCCAAACTTATTCTCGAGGAAGAGGATTTAAATATAGGCCGTTGTTTAGAATCTTTAGTAGCTCGTCTTGGCAATACTGTTACGTAGGTATGGTTATTAAGCGTCTGTATTACCCCTTCCACCCTTACATTGTGAGTGACTTCCACGCTACTGTATATTCCCTATCTGCTTCTGTGTCTGTTGTATTGATAAAAACTCCTCGAGGGCGACAAAAATTTCCTTAAGTGTCTTTTTTTATTCATAGTAACAGCCTGATTGAACAGGCAATGAGTAAGAAAACATTGTCCCAGGCCAGGGAAAGAAACCTCTGAACACCAGTGATATTGAACATAGTATGACGGTGCTCAGTAACCAGTGGACAAGTATAATATTGTATATAGTATGACTATGCAGTGCTCCATAACCAGACCTTTAAGATAACTGTTGTTTAGCAGAAGTATAAATGGTGTTACAGACAGTAGTATAAATTTATACAATATTCTGAGCACTTGTGGATCTTAAAGGTCTGTAAATATATGTATTTCATTCCTTATATTTCACAGTGGTTATTATGTACATTTAATGTAGCATACTTCCAGTAAAGCATATTTTTAGGTTAGGGTTGCTTAGATTGTTCTTCTTTAATAAAAAAAATTTGGATATGTAGGCCAGCGGGCCGGCAGCGGCAGCAACAGCCTGGTTGACCAGCCAAACACCAGATAAGCCTGGCCCAGTGCCAGGCTCCGGGAATAGAAAAACCCTCGAAATGAAATATTACAGAGGCGATACAATTCGAAGACCCAGCAAGCAGACTCTGCTATACATACTCAGGCAATAACTGTTTAAGCTCATTTAAATATCAGTTATCCCACTGACTTAGATGAGGATATCTGCTGTTGCTTACACTGGCATATTTGTTATCAGTCTGCTTTATTGATGAACTACTGAATTATTCGTGCAACTTGCACGGTTGTATTTCACTGTGCATCCAAACATAATGTTTATCGTGAAATTAAAAGTCTTTGCAGCATTTCCTTAAAAAAAAAACTAGCAGTGACACAAGAACCCTACTGGAAATAAGTCACTCTATCTGATTTTTTTGGGTTATCCTAGGGAATCTACACATATGTTACCATGTATGATTATTTGTGTGTACTTACACCTAAATATGCTTACGCAATGTGGACATTAGAGAGAAATACAAGAGTTTCCCCGATAGAAGTTCCATTTTCTCTTATAAATATGTTATTCGTTTTCTTTTACTTGACTGGCAGACTATTAAGGTGCGTTACACCTCTTTTCCTTTCCCCACTACCAATACAAGGTATTTGTAATAATAAATAATAATAACTTTATCCTTGGTTAGTTAATCCTCACTTGTCACCTTTGTTTACCTATATTGATTATATATGTTATATTAATGCACCGTATGTAAATATTTGTTTGCTCATGTATGTTAGTGGTTTTGTTTGTGCTTAACAATATTTTATTACTTGTAAACCACACATTGTATACTAAGCAAAAAATAAATTTTTGAATTTGAGTTTAATGGTAAATTAGACAGGAAAGTTTTTTTATGTACAGTTACATTTAGGAACAATAAAAGAAGTTTTGGATGTGTACAAGACCCTGTTGGAAATAAGTCACTTTGTGTGACTTTTTTGGGTTATCATAGGTAATCTACAAATATGCTGCTATGTATGATAATTTATGTAACTGTATTTATGTGTACCTATACCTGAATAACTTACTTCCAGTTCCTTGTATAGTAACCTATGCGTAAATTACCTACAATAATTGAAACGCTTCAGTTTACCTGGAGAGAGTTCCGGGGGTCAACGCCCCCGCGGCCCGGTCTGTGACCAGGCCTCCTGGTGGATCAGAGCCTGATCAACCAGGCTGTTGCTGCTGGCTGCACGCAAACCAACGTACGAGCCACAGCCCGGCTGATCAGGAACTGACTTTAGGTGCTTGTCCAGTGCCAGCTTGAAGACTGCCAGGGGTCTGTTGGTAATCCCCCTTATGTATGCTGGGAGGCAGTTGAAGTCTCGGGCCCCTGACACAGGGGTCCTTGTAATATATTTTTATTAGCAGCCTGGCTGTTAGGTACAGTGGAAGTCACTTGAAATATAATCGACCAAATAAGTCAACTTTATTAAATCAGTTACAGTAAGAGATATAAAGTAAACTGAGAAGTTAATTGTATAATAGACACGCGAATGTTAACTATATAAGAATTTAAATTCCCCCTCTCTGTAGCTTCATTCTTTAGGAAGCTTTTAGCTGTCTTCATGAACTGGTTCATGTTGAGACTGATCTTGACGTGTTCAGGCAGTCAGGGCTGTATGACCCTGGTGGTTTAGCGCTTAGTTTTGATTGTAATAATGTATAATAAAAGGTGTTTCAGGTTTGACTGGCTACTGTAGGTTCACTCCGCCACTATCTGGCGAAATGTTTCCAGAATAAAGATTCTCAAATGTTGCACAAGTGTCTTATCTATCAGCTTGTACGTTTTCGAAACCATTTTTTCGATCGCCAGTAGCAACAGCCTGGTTGCCCAGGTAGGCACAAGATGAACCTGGGCCAAGGCCGGGCTCCTTGAGCAGATAAACTAGTTTGGTTCCTAACGTTGGCAAAATTTGCAGCAAGACGTTCCGGACACTGCTTGTGAGTAATTTAAAAACATGATGAGTTTCAATTGCTTTACCCGGTCAGTAACATTCAGCACTTCCAATTGTTGTAGTTCATTCTGGCGTACTGTGTTCTCTTGAACTCGGGACCAGGATGGATCTCACCATTTTGTTTTGGGTGATTTGGAACTATTTTTCCTTTTTTTCTTGTTAGAGTAGAGTACCATGTAGAACAAGAAAAATCTACATGATATTGTTTTAAAGCTAGACACAGGATCCTGTGAGCTTCAGTAGGTAGACACTGTGCCTACATTGTCCACTGTTCTGGCATGGATGAGTCACTGGGAATTCCCAGATATTTCACTGATGGTACCAAAGTGATGGGTTCTGTCACAATGTACATAAAAAGTATTTACCCTTTTCAATTTACTTTTCGTACCAAACATTTTGGATTCAGCGTTACCTAGGTGTACCAATAGTTGGTTGTCTACTAACCTTCTACTGCAGAACTAATCCAGATGATAACTATATCAGATGATTAGCTTTACCTTGTGGGACTTGACCTGAGACTAGCAGAGCACTGTCATCTGCATACAACACAGGTTTACACTTGACACTGATGGCCATGTCAAAAAATTAAATGTTTTAAATATCTAGAGTGGTTGCAGTAGCACATGTATAACAAGTTATGAAGATTTATCCTAACATAACAATGTAAAATGATTTATTTACATGGGGTTTTATAGATCCTTAAACGATTATGCTGCGCCAGTGTTAATTTTACATAAGGAAAATTCTCCCCTGTCTTTGGAGCTAATGCAAAACAGAGCCTCAGAATTAGTCATGGGTGTCCTAAATCTACCAAAGTTCTTAATATGAGTGATATCAGTGAAAGGATAATTAAGAATAACACTGTACTTGGTACTAGAAAGTTAGGAAATCAGCTAGACACTGTCACATCAAATCTTACTAAATGTTTAGAAGTAAATGCACGTAGATCTAAGTGGGTTTTATAAACTGCATGAACTGTATCGCTGTAGATGGGGATCATGTATCAGGCACTACTTGGGATCATGTATCATGGATTACTGGGGATCATGTATCAGGGACTACTGGGGATCATGTATAAGGCATTACTGGGGATCCTATATCAGGGACTACTGGGGATCGTGTATCAGGCACTACTTGGGATCATGTATCAGGGATTACTGGGGATCATGTATCAGGGACTACTAAGGATCCTATATCAGGGACTACTGGGGATCATGTATCAGGGACTACTGAGGATCATATATCAGGGACTACTGGGAATCATGTATTAGGGACTACTGGGGATCATGTATCAGGGACTACTAAGGATCCTATATCAGGGATTACTGGGGATCATGTATCAGGGACTACTGGGGGTCCTATATCAGGGACTACTGGGGATCACGTATCAGGGACTACTGGGGATCATGTATCAGGGACTACTAAGGATCATATATCAGGGACTACTGGGGATCATTTATCAAGGACTACTGGGGATCATGTATCAGGGACTACTGGGGATCATGTATCAGTGACTACTAAGGATCCCATATCAGGGACTACTGGGGACCATTTATCAGGGACTACTGGGGGTCATTTATCAGGGACAACTGGGGATCATGTATCAGTCACTACTGGGGATCCTATATCAGGGACTACTGGGGATCATGTATCAGGCACTACCTGGGATCATGTATCAGGGACTACTGGGGATCATGCATCAGGGACTTCTAAGGATCTTATATCAGGGACTACTGGGGATCATGTATCAGAGACTATTGAGGATCATATATCAGGGACTACTGGGGATCATGTATAAGGGACTACTGGGGATCATGTATCAGGGACTACTGAGGATCATGTATCAGGTACTACTGGGGATCATGTATCAGGGACTACTGGGGATCATGTATCAGGGACTACTGGGGATCATGTATCAGTGACTACTAAGGATCCCATATCAGGGACTACTGGGGACCATTTATCAGGGACTACTGGGGATCATTTATCAGGGACTACTGGGGATCATGTATCAGTCACTACTGGGGATCCTATATCAGGGACTACTGGGGATCATGTATCAGGCACTACCTGGGATCATGTATCAGGGACTACTGGGGATCATGCATCAGGGACTTCTAAGGATCTTATATCAGGGACTACTGGGGATCATGTATCAGGGACTATTGAGGATCATATATCAGGGACTACTGGGGATCATGTATCAGGGACTACTGGGGATCATGTATCAGGGACTACTGGGGATCATGTATCAGGCACTACTGGGGATCATGTATCAGGGACTACTGGGGATCATGTATCAGGGACTACTGGGGATCATGTATCAGAGACCCTACTGGGGATCATATATCAGGGACTGCAGTGGATCATGTATCAGGGACTACTGGGGATCATGTATCAGGGACTACTGGGGATCATGTATCAGGGACTACTGGGGATCATGTATCAGGGACTACTGGGGATCATGTATCAGGGAGTACCGGGGATCATGTTTCAGGGACTACTGGGGATCATGTATCAGGGACTACTGGGGATCATGTATCAGGGACTACTGGGGATCATGTATCAGGGACTACTGGGGATCATGTATCAGGGACTACTGGGGATCATGTATCAGGGAGTACTGGGGATCATGTTTCAGGGACTACTGAGGATCATGTATCAGGGACTACTGAGGATCATGTATCAGGGACTACTGGGGATTATATATAAGGGACTACTGAGGATCATATATCAGTGTCCAGTGGAGGTCATGTATCAGGGACCGCAAAGAATAATAAATCTTCAAAAAAACACTGGACTGCCAGCAATTCCAGGTTCACCCTCTGGGCTCTGCTGGAATAACAGGGCACAAGATGGTAAAAAGCCGTCATGGAAAAATTTCTCTTTTGAAAAATCCCGAGTAGAAAGAGCTCACTTAATACTGATCCTTTGCTGAAGACAACTGGAGCCTTCACCGATGATAACAAACAGATGAACGATGTACTTAGATCACTGTACGACTCCATTCAGTGTACCATTAAACAAACTAAAGATTGATAACCCACCAATTTTTTTTTTCATGTTTTGACAATAAATTATACCTGATCCCCATTACATTTATTGATTCCTGACCCCCAGGTCCTGATCATTACCTGCTCTTGAAACTGTGTGTGTGTATGTTTCAGGGGTCACTACCAGTGGTTGTCGCACGACCGGCGGGTCGTGGACCACGACGCTGTCAGGACTCTCAACGGCGCTCCCCTCACCCTGTACTTCCTAGTCAAGTGAGTACACTCAGTATCATCTCATCTTGTACACCACTGCTAAGACAGTGTATTGGTCATATATGTTCATGCTTGTATCCTCTTACTACCCTCTACTTCCACGTCACCTTCATCAGCTGAGTTGAAACGCTAGTTTATTCACAGTAAACCTCCACACTGGCAATGAAAAAATGAACTACGTTTCGGTCGTCGTCCAATGTCGATCGAAATGTGTGGTTTCAGGGTTCATTGCGAATTGTTCCAGCTACGTTACTGTAATTTTTATTATTCTATTTTTGTTCATGGTCTTCAGAGTGTACCATCCTCTCCCTGAACACTTCACTACCAACCCCCAGCATTGCTTCTTTCTACTTGCTCTTTATCGTGTAGTTAGCGCGTGCCTAGCATTCTTACATTTCCCACCAGGCTTAATTAAGTGTAAACTTAAAGTCCCGTCTAATATATATTTGTGAGAGGCACTACACTCGAACCTATGAACTCCGGCGTGTGTACCTCAGGCGGATACAGATACTTCTGTAAGACTTACTCCCAAGAAAGGTTTTTTTTTTTGAGTGATGTATAGTGTGCTTGATGGTCTTTCTTTTTTGTTTTTGTCTGTGACGGGTTGCTTCTCCTGTGTCCAACAACGTGTGCGTGTGTGGTAATTTATGTATATACTTATTGTTCTCCACAGTGTTATACTTTATATATGTATTTTGTCTGTATAAGATGTGCTCTCAATAAAATATATAAAAAAAAACTCCGGCGAGGAAGCAGAGACAGTCTTGACCTGGCTGTGATTCCCAGTAAGGTCCCGTTTTACAGTTTGTGTATTGAATAAGTTGCAATATGAAGTTTATGCATTTTATTGAGACGTTTCGTCCATCTGGGACTTGATCAGCGGATTGATAGTCTCTGGTCATCTCTATAAATTGATACAGTGTGATGAACTTTTATCAGTTGACACCGTCTCTGGTGGTTTTTATGAATTCACTACATGTATGTTCCTCAGCCACGTCTGAGTCTCGTCTCATGCACCACCTTGTATCTCGTCACCAGAGATTCACATCCCAGGTGCTGATCATTAAACATGTATTTTTTTACATGTTTAATATAAAAAGCACAAGCATTTATTTTTTCCAGAACCTAGTTCTGTGTATGATGTATTACCGCAGTGTGTAATTCACATCAGTCTGTGACGAATGTCTCTTTGGCAGCGTTTGTGAGCATCAACGTGTTGGTGTTAGTATTGTGGGTTGACGTGGTTTTATTAATGGGGCTTAAAGTATATGGACTACACTAGGATCATTATGGCTGCACGTAACTTTCACCACTAAACAAGAATACCTTAACTACTAAAATAGTAATTAAACTCTAAGCTCATATTTGCTGAGAGAAATACACTGGATGGGGTGAGAGGTTCACACACCCTATCTATCTATATATGTTATATATATATATATATATATATATATATATATATATATATATATATATATATATATTATATATATATATATATATATATATATAATATATATATATATATATATATATATATATATATATATATATATAATATATATATATAATATATATATACATATATATATATATATATATATATATATATATACATATATATATGTATATATATATATATATATATATATATATATATATATATATATATAATATATATAATATATATTTTATGTCGTGCCGAATATGTAAAACTGGTCAATTAGTAACAACTCATTTAAAATTAAGTCTTTTCTAAAATTTTCTCTTATACGTTTAAAGGCATATTTTTTTAATTATGTTCATGTAAAAAAATTTAATTTTGCACCAAAAGAATCTTAGAAAACTTACCTAACCTTATTATAACAAGAGCAATTTATTTTGGCCTAACCCAACTAAATATATTTTAAATACGTTTACAGTAATTTAATACTAAACAAACACAATCAAATATATTTTTTTTCGTTAGGTTCAGAATGATTTTGGCGAAATTATTGCATACACAAATTTTCACTTGTCCTATATGGCAAGATGAGCGTTGCTATTTAAGCCAAGATCGCAAGTTCTCCTATTCGGCGACGACATATATATATATATATAAATATATATATATAAAATATATATATAAATAATATATATATATATATGTCGTGCCGAATGGGTAAAAGTGGTCAATTAACAAGAACTCATTTAAAATTAAGTCTTTTCTAAAATTTTCTCTTATACGTTTACAGATATTTTTCTTTCATTTATGTTAATGTAAAAATTAATAATTTTGTACCAAAAGAACCTTTGAAAACTTACCTAACATTATTATAACAAGCGCAATTTAAATTAGCCTAATTCAACTAAATATATTTTAGATAAGTTTACAACACTGTAAATAAACAAACACAATGAAATATATTTTTTTCGTTAGGTTCAGAATGATTTTTGCGAAATCATTGCATACACAAATTTTCGCCTGCCTTATTCGGCAAGAATAGCGTTGCTATTTAAGCCAAAATCGCAAGTTTTACCTATTTGGCACAATTTATCTACCGCATCTGCTAGAAAAATGATTGGATGGATAATGAGAACCTTCAAAACTAGGGACGCCAAGCCCATGCTGATGGAATACTGCTGTACACTAACGGCCCTCTTCAAGGCAGACGAAATTGCTGACTTGGAGAGTGTACAAAGAACTTTCACGGCACACATAAGTACGATAAAGCACCTAAATTACTGGGAACAGTTGAAGTCCTTGATTTGTATTCCCTGGAACGCAGGCAGGCGAGATACATGATAATATACACTTGGAAAATCCTAGAGAGATTAGTACTCAACTTGCACACGAAAATCACTCCCTATAATAGCAAAAGACTCGGCAGGAGATGCAACATTCTCCCAAATGAAAAGCAGGGGCGCCACGAGTACACTGAGAAACAACACAATAAGTGCCTGGGGCGCAAGACTGTTCAACTGCCTCCCAGCATACATAAGGGGAATTACCAATAGACCCCCTGGACAGGCACCTAAAGTCAGTACCTGACCAGCCGGGCTATGGTTCGTACGTCAGTTTGCTTGCGGCCAGCAGTAACAGTCATCAACTCTGCATCCTGCATTCAAAAAGAAAACATCCTGGGCGAAGATATTGAGCACCATGTATGTGCCTGAAACAGACACATACTGAGCACCATGCATATGCCTGAAACACAGACACACACTGAGCACCATGTATGTGCCTGAAACACAGACACATACTGAGCACCATGTATGTGCCTGAAACACAGACACACACTGAGCACCATGTGTGTGCCTGAAACACAGACACATACTGAGCACCATGTATGTGCCTGAAACACATACACACACTGAGCACCATGTATGTGCCTGAAACACAGACACACACTGAGCACCATGTGTGTGCCTGAAACACAGACACATACTGAGCACCATGTATGTGCCTGAAACACAGACACACACTGAGCACCCCTGTGTGTGCCTGAAACACAGACACATAATGAGCACCAAAGTATGTGCCTGAAACACAGACCACACTGACACCATGTATGTGCCTGAAACACAGACACACACTGAGCACCATGTGTGTGCCTGAAACATAGACACATACTGAGCACCATGTGTGTGCCTGAAACACAGACACATACTGAGCACCATGTGTGTGCCTTAAACACAGACACACACTGAGCACCATGTAGTGCCTGAAACACAGACACAACTGAGCACCATGTTTTGTTCCTGAAACACAGACACACTGAGCAAACCCTGTGTGTGCCTGAAACACAGACATACTGAGCACCATGTGTGGCCTGAAACACAGACACATACTGGGGCACTATGTATGTACTTGAAGCACAGACACATACTGAGCACCATGTGTGCCTAAACACAGACACATACTGAGCACCATGTATGTGCCTGAAACACAGACACATACTGAGCACCATGTATGGCCTGAAACACAGACACATACTGAGGGACCATGTATGTGCCTGAAACACAGACACATACTGAGCACCATGTTGTGTGCCTGAAACACAGACACATACTGAGCCCATGGTGTGCCTGAAACACAGACACATACTGAGCACCATGTATGTGCCTGAAACACAGACACATACTGAGCACCATGTGTGTGCCTGAAACACAGACACACACTGAGCACCATGGGTGCGCCTGAAACACAGACACACACTGAGCACCATGTATGTGCCTGAAACACAGACACATACTGAGCACCATGTGTGTGCCTGAAACACAGACACACACTGAGCACCATGTATGTGCCTGAAACACAGACACATACTGAGCACCATGTATGTGCCTGAAACACAGACACATACTGAGCACCATGTATGTGCCTGAAACACAGACACATACTGAGCACCATGTGTGTGCCTGAAACACAGACACATACTGAGCACCATGTATGTGCCTGAAACACAGACACATACTGAGCACCATGTATGTGCCTGAAACACAGACACATACTGAGCACCATGTGTGTGCCTGAAACACAGACACATACTGAGCACCATGTGTGTGCCTGAAACACAGACACATAAATGAGCACCAGTATGTGCCTGAAACACAGACACATACTGAGCACCATGTAAAGTGCCTGAAACACAGACATATATGAGCACCATGTATGTGCCTGAAACACAGACACATATTGAGCACCATGTAGTGCCTAAACACAGACCATACCGACACCGTGTATGTGCCTGAAAACAGACACATACTGAGCACCATGTGTGTGCCTGAAACACAGACACATACGAGTACCATGTATGTGCCTGAAACACAGACACATACTGAGCACCATGTATGTACCTGAAACACAGACACATACTGAGCACCATGTATGTGCCTGAAACAGACACATACTGAGCACCATGTGTGTACCTGAAACACAGACACATACTGAGCACCATGTGTGCGCCTGAAACACAGACACACACTGAGCACCATGTGTGTGCCTGAAACACAGACACATACTGAGCACCATGTATGTACCTGAAACACAGAAACATACTGAGCACCATGTGTGTACCTGAAATACAGACACACACTGAGCACCATGTATGTACCTGAAACACAGACACATACTAAGCACCATGTATATACCTGAAACATAGACACATATTGAGCACCATGTGTGTACCTGAAACACAGACACATACTGAGCACCATGTGGTACCTGAAACACAGACACATACTGACACCATGTATGTGGCCTGTAACACAGACACATATTGAGCCCCAATGTAATGTGCCTGAAACCAGACACATACTAGCACCATGTATGCCTGAAACACAGACACATACTGAGCACCATGTATGTGCCGGAAACACAGACACATACTGAGCACCATGTATTGCCTGAAACACAGACACATACTGAGCACCATGTGTGTGCCTGAAACACAGACACATACTGAGCACCAGTATGTGCCTAGAACACAGACACTTATTGAGCCCATGGGATGTGCCTGAAACACAGACACATACTGAGCACCATGT